CAGAAGTTTATCTCTAGGGGAAGGAAATCCATTGTCAACTGCAAAGTGCTATTTGAATATGGGGCACACGGCTCTCTATTGGTTTTGGATAGCAATTTCTGTAAAATGGCTAAGAGTTGGGGAGTAGGGGTACAGGGCTCTAAAAAGGCAGCTCCCCAGGGTCTGTCTGACTCTCCTTGTGGCTCCGATAAAGCTGTCTGCTAACTTTAGGAAGGCCTGCCAAACATGACAGCTATTTATGAAATAATTTACCTTGGATGGTGTAAAAGCTCATGGTGGAAACCGCAATCACACACACACATCCTGTTTGCATTTCTCTGGGCACTGTCGACTGTTCCATCACGGCCCTGCTCACTCTGAGGGTTGTGCAGGGGCTGGAGCAAGGCGGGGCGGCTCCTCCTTAACCACAGAGGCAGCCAGCTGAGCGCCAGCCTCCTCCCTCTACAGTCCTGGAAGAGGCACCCACTACCCCTGAGAGAGAAGCAGGACCATGAGGACTGATTTATGATTCTGATCGATGTTAGTTACTGTGCTTGGAAGGCTGAATCATGGCCAGCCTCAGGGGCCAGAGACAGAGATCCAAGGGAAGACATAGAAAAGTGGCGCAGAAGGGAAAATAGTTAAAAGGCCAGACATTTAAAAGGCATCCCTTTCACACAGCTCTGAAGACATGGTACCTTGAGGAGCATCTTTTCTGATCTCTGCCTGTGAATCATCTCGCCAACATCATCTCCAGTAGAACCTCTTCTGATGGTTCTTTCCAAGGGGTCTCAACAGGGTACAGGCACTGTGCAGGGTGTTAACACACGTTACCCATCTCACTTTACCTTCTCAGCAGCCTTCTGATCACCGCGGGTGTAGCTATTCTCGTTTTGCTAATGAGGAAACAGGCTCGGAGAACTTAAGAGACTTGCCAAGGTCAGAGAGCTCTTTCTTGGAGCCAGCTAAGGCCCAGGTTCACCAAAGGTCCTCGGAAACCTCTGCAAACACAGCTCCCCTCTACTCAGCTCGGGGTGGGGAGCTTTGCATATCGGAGGGAGAGAGAAGTTCCCTGCATGGCCCTGATCTTTGGGCTGAGGACCTTGGGAACGCTGCAGAGGGCCTTGGGACAGAGCACACAGCAAGACCCCCAATCTGACTGAAGGGAGGAACTAGAGGCCAAGACAAGAATACGTGAAACCAGAAAGGACCTCAGGTTTGAGGCCAGAGGTTCTCAAAAGAAGAGGGTGTAGTGAGAGGAGAAGAGGGTGTCGGGGCTGCATATTGGGAAAGATCTCTGACACCAGCTTCCCAGGGGAGAGTTCCAGCCCAATCCCATACTTCTATACATGGGGAAACTGAGGCCAGGAGAAGGGAGGGAGGCTCCTCAACAAGAGTCTCCTCTCCTGGGATCAAACCATCTTGGGGGCAGTATGCACAGGAACTGTGCAGGTGAGCAGGCAGACTGCACACCCCCTGGCCAGAAATGGAACGAAGCGCTCCTAGTTTTTCTTTGTCTTTCTTGATGAAAAGGTTGCAGAACAAAGAGAACCATAACTTCCACTTCAGTTTTCATAACCCGCTAGCCGTATGTCTGGCCCTTTTGTCATTTCTAACAGTGATGACAGTTCCTCCCCCTCTGGGAAGCGGATGAGGAACAAGGGTCCTTCCCATGCCGGTGTCCCACCCCTAGTGCTGCCCCATGCATGGTTCCCGCAGTGGCTGAGACACTCAGTTACCAGCTCAGGCTTCTTCATCCTATTTCCTCTTCTTTCCCATCCTCAGGCCCCAGCGCCTAAATCAGGACAATAAGGGACGGGAGAGGAGAGTGAATAGGGAGGGGCTTGGCTTGGTTGACGGTGGTCAGCTGTCCACATAACCAGTCCAAGACCAGCTCCCAAGGGCTCCTCTCCCCATCTCCCCTCTTCTCTCTCAGGAGGGTTTTGTGCAGGACTGTGTGTATATGTGGTGGTTGCAGGGGGATTGTTTTCAGTGATTCCATAGGGCGCCTGGGCACACCTAAGCAAGCTTGGGATAAGGGGAGGGTGAGTGCGGCCATCAACCCAGGACAGGGCCCGCAGGAACCCTGGAGGTGGAGACAAGCCGAGCTGCTTGGTCCAGGTCCAGCCCTGGGGCCAGCCAGATGCAAGATGGAGAACCTGATGCCAGGGTTGACTGCCCAGCTCCAGCCAGGTGGATCTGGGTTTGAATCTCAGTTCTGCTGCCTAAAAGCTGCCCAGCACACTGGGCAAGCTCCTGGGCCCCTCTGAGGCTGCTTCCTCCTCTGGATACTGAGAAGGGTTTAGCCAGTAACTCCTATGTGCCAGGTACAGTAGCAAGTGAGAAAAAGCAGTTGTGTCCCGGGGGGGGAGAGAAAACTATTAATCAAATTATCACACAAATCCACATGACAATGCTAAAGGGGATGATAATAGTATCTGCTCCTGAGGGTGTTGTGTGGGGAGTTTTAAAGCAGTGACTGCATCTGAGCACAGAGACACCTTCTGTTACTGAAACACCAGCTCTTACTGTCCCAGCCCCTCACAAGGCACCTCGTGGGGTTGAAGAATTCGAAGAATATTTTATATTTATCCAGCGCTTTAAAGTTTTTAAAGCATTTTCCACACACATTAGCTCATCCAGTCTTCCCAATAACCCTTGGGAGGTAGGTGCTTTATTTTCTCCAATTTCTTGATGAGGCGACTGAAGACCAGAGACGTTAAGTGGCTTGTTGAAAGGCTCCAGCGAGGGGAGTCAAACTTGGGCACAAGTCCTCTGGGTTTTACATCCCTCAGCCGTTAAAGAGAAGGGGTGGGTACCGCTCTGAGCTCTGGGACAGGAAGGGGTGGGTATGAGCAGGGTTTCTCAGCCTGCGGGCCGGGCTGTGCTCCGGCAAGGCCGTCCATCCGCTGCGTGACTGCCCCTCCCTCCAGGGCCCGTTCGGCCAGGGCCGGAGGACTCCTGGGGGACCCCGGCCCGGGGCTGCGCGTCTTTTCCTCCAGCCCACGCTCCCGCTTCCGGAGGGGTCTGGGCCGGCCTTCTCCGGCCAGGAGCCAGAGGCCGCCAGGCAGGCCGCCCAGGCCGGAGAACTGCCCCCGTCCGGCCCCCGGGCGCGCCCCGCGGCACCACTTCTCCGTCCA